CAGGAGATTGAGGCAAAAGAATTGCAAGTTCGAGGTCAAGCTAGGCAACTTAGCAAGACTGTCTCAAAATAGAAAAAAAAAAAAGGACTGAAAATGTAGCTTAGTGATAGAGTGCTTGCCTAGCATGAGTACTGCAAACAAACCCAACAAAACAAAGCACACACAGTCACACATAAATAACTCTCATCTATTTTAAAGCTGTTATTTTTTGTTTCTCTCACTTTGCTCTTTTCCTAGGTTTGTTTTACTGTCATAGTTCTTTTTTTATTTGGTGTTTTGAGACGTATCAATGTGTAGTTCTGGCTGGACTTGAATTTGTGATCCTCTTGCCTCAGCCTCCTGAGTGGTAGGATTACAGGCATGCACCACCATGTCCATCTCGCTGTCATTGTTTTTGAAACTCCTGGCAACAGCCATTTACTGGCAGCCCTCTTTGCCTTAGGAACAACACCTAAAGTAATTGTGGGAGTTAAAAGACAGAAAGACTAGCTTGAGCAAGCCAGTTTGAAGGATTGGCAATGCTATCAAGAAGAAAAGCCTTTAATGGCAGTCTCTAAAAATTCCCTATGGTCCCATTGTCTGTTTTTGGATTTTTTTTGTTTTGTTTTTTGAGACAGGGTCTTGCTATGTAGTTCCAGCCATCCTTCAACTCACTATGTAGCCCAGGCTGGCCTCTAATTCACAGTTGTCCTCCCTCAGCTTCCAAGTGGTGGGATTACAGACATGTACCACCATGCCCAGCAAATTTCTTCAGACTTTTTCTTGTATATCTTCATCAGAAATCATAAGTATGATGAATCGCAAGGAAAAGCAATATGGTGAAAAGAAAACTTGACTTATGCTGTATGTATTGTCAGCTAACTCTATAATCTTAGGCAGGCTATTCCATACATGCTAGCCATACTTTCTTATGTGTAAATAGGCTTTATATATGCCCTGCTTAAGATCTGGTGGGGTGACATTTGTGAAGAATAATGTAAACTATAAATTGCTTTGTGAATAAATATTACTATCTCTGGTAAACAGTACTGGTTCTCGTCCACCAATAACCTAATTCTTGGGCCAGGGATGTAGCTCAGCATTGTAGCACCTACCTACCAAGCACAAGGCTCTTGAGTTCAATTCCTGGTACCAAAAAAGGAAGGAAAAAAAAAACAAAACCTAATTCTCCTATCCTGTGTCGGAAGAACAAATCAATGAAGAGGATTGCTGGTTTTTTAGTCTTCTGTTTACAAGGTACATCTACTTTTTCCCCCCATCTTTTAATCCTGTTGGTCCCTGAGCTTTAAGGGAAAAGTCTATTACATCACCCAGCAGTGGTATTCTTAGTACAAATTATAACTGGCACTGAACTTGAGTTGGCAGTCTTGAACAGATAAACAGAGCTACCTTCTGGCCAGAAGTTAACTTTTCTGTATATTTTCTCTTGTACTACCTATACCTTAAAAATCCTTGAAGGTTGGTTATGAGCCAAAAGATGCATATAGTAGTCTCAGCTCTGATACAAGTCCTTGTAGACTGACAGTCGTGAAGAAGAGTTGTGAAGTCTCTAAGGGTAGCTGATGCAAACAGGAATGTAGATATTGAATTCAGCCCTCAGACCCAGTGTCCTTGTGGTGGAGAATAAGGAGTTGCTTTCTGATTCTGGAGTAAAAATATCTATATCTTTTTTGCAGCTTCATGTTATGACTACTTGGAATATACTTAGAAACACCTATGGGTAACTGCCAAAATGAGAGCTTGGGACTTGAGGATTTTAGCAGGTTTCAAACTAATAGTTAAGCTTAACACTGCTGGAGTGGACATGTTTGATTTTACTTTCAAAACTATGATAGGGGGCCAGGGATTTAGCTCAGTGGTTCCGCCACCTGCCTTGCAAGCACAAGGACCCGAGTTTGATCCCTGGTACCAAAAAAAAAAAAAAGAAAGAAAACTGTGATGGGGCCAGGGATGTAGCTCAGTGATTCCACCGCCTTCCTCACAAGCCCAAGGTCCTGAGTTCAATCCCTAGTACCAAAAAAACCCACAAAACCTGACGGTTCTTTAGGAGCCAGACCTGTTAATCAAATTCATGGTTTTGAGTGCTTTTCATGGTACCTTTGCTTAAGTAGCTTAATAATCCAGTATTTCAAATTGGATAGAAATAAAATTTTTAATGTGTGAAGATAGTAGATTGTAGACAGGAGTGGCCAGCCACTTAAAGTGATTGTGTCATTCCACCTGTTTCTTAATCCATCTCCCCACAGGTTAGTTCCTTGGGAGACACTGACAGATTGCTGCTTTGTGAAATCTGGAGAGAGGACCTAGTAGGAATGGGAAGGGTTGCAAAACACACATACACGCGTGTGTGCGTCATACATGTGCTTGGTATATCCCAGCTACCTGTGTTTGATAATAATGAGAGAATCAAATAATAGACAAATCTGTCTTATTCTTATTCAGATTTTTTCTGTGACTGTTTATTCTTATTTGAATAATTAACTGGTTTTCATCAGTAACGTTAAAACCATTTCATATTCTTTCACACTGTTTTACTGGCAACCTGATGTCTACCCATATCCAGGTTGAAAAGAAAGGCTTCCTGAATTATAGGATACTCTGTAAGAATAAGAACTCATTGCCTTTGTAGCACTTGAGATGAAGGGAATCTGAGTTGATATACCACCCTCAACAAAAGGTTATGTGTCCACAGCTATTGGAATAATGTGTTTGTTGTCTGAGTTTTCCTTACCTTAAAAATTCCTGAATGTACTGATGCTTCCAAGTGGTGAAATCAGAATTTGCAGTTGACTAAAATTCAGTGTTACTTGTTCTAGTGGTTACTGCTGATCACTTTTCAAATGACAGCCCTCGTGTTTTTGGATTGGGTGTACATATGTATGCTATGAGAGCAATACCTCCTCCACAGTCTCTTGGTGCTAAGTCTCTGTTTCCCCAAAGATAGCTGAGTGTATTCAGCCTTTCATTCCACAAAAGCTTATAAACTCTTTTTTCGTACTAGATACTGTTTACTGCTGATAATAAAAACAGTTTGACAATTAACACAAAGTATGGTTCTGATGTGTATTGACCTTTCTCTATGAAAGCTTAGTCTTTGAGGAGTTTGAAGTGGATCATGAAATACTCCCACCAAACAAGATAAAGTGAGTGATTGTCTGACCCTATGTATTCTTATCTGCTATTGTGAGTCCTTTTTTGAGTACTTAGACTTGAAGTAGTCAACATTTATTGAGCCTTCACTATATTTCCCATGCTAAGCTTTTTACATGTACCGTATTTCCATAGTGTTTACCCTATCAAGTAGGTTCTGTGATCCTCACTTTACAGATGAGGAAACTAAAGCACAAAATTAAGGGCCTTGCTGAAAATCATGGAGTGGAGGCAGGATTCAAATTTAGGGAGCTTGGCCCAGAGCCCTTCCTCTTAAATTATATCCAACTGTCCTTGTGCTTGGAATGGGGCTGTACTGACCAACCTCCTGCATGTGTAGAGCTTGACAGATCCCTGATCCTTTCTGCTTGCAGATCTTCTTTCTTTCCTGACTAGTTCATGAAGTAGATTACCTATCTTAATATTGAGCAGGAATTGCTGAGTAAGACAGAAGGTCCTTTTCTACAGTCCCTGATGACTACAGATCTGACCTTTATCAGCTGGATGATCTGGCCCCTCTTAACATGTTTCCTCGTCTGTAAAGTGGAAATATTACTTCATGGGATTATCAGGGATTAAGTAACATAATTTAGCAGTTTCTGGCTCTGAGTAAGCACTTAATAAATGTTAGCAATTTTTATTGTTGTTGTCCTTTAGCCTTGAGGTCAAGCCAGAAAACAGTTTCCCGGAGAACAGATTCTAAGTCCTAGGTAGGTGGGCAGTTTTCCTTTAGTTTTGACAAGAAAATAATCTAACGTATTTCTCTTGACTTTTCTGGTGTGAAAAGCAGAGAAGTAAAGCATTATTTGACAGATGTATAGATCCAAACAAGAAACTGAGGTCCAGTGGCAAAGAAATGACTTGTAAAAACTCATGGCCCTGTCTAAGGAGACACAGAGGACCCTAGAGGGCGGAGAATGAGCACAGACAGCACAGGGGCCTAGAGTCACATTCTTGGTTAGTTCACTTTTAAGTATGTGTGAGGGTCCCTTGCTGGTACGTAGAGATTTTTTCCCTGTACTCCAGCACAAATCTGCTGGCTTGTGTTTATTAAACAAAACTTAATTTTTTTTTCTGGATATGAAACAGAATTTGTGACTTGTACAAAATGAAAAAGCAAGAGAGCTCTATATCTGCAGGCTTATTGCACCCCTTTCGTACCTGTTCCTCTACCACACTTTCCCAAAGGCTTATTTGCCAGTGGTTGCTCTTCAGATTCTTAGGGTTGGCTCATTTTGTAGGCTTCAAGCTGGAGTGATCTTGCTACTGCTGCCGTCACCACCACTACTGCTGCCACCAGCCACTCAAGTTTACTGCTATAAGAAAGTAATACGCCCACCTTCCCCCTTCCTGTCTTCAGTGTTGATCTCTTTCTCCTTGTGCTTTTGCCAAGCACTCAGTATTCCAAAGAAAATGTTTAGGCACCAAAGTTATAGACCTTATGCCTCTCCAAAGAGATGTGAATTACCCTCTGAGCTGCAGAAGAAAGAGCTTTCTTCTTGATAGTGTACTAGCTTGTGAGCCAGGTGGGGGACTTGTCTGGGACTCATGAGTGTGCGCTGCATGACCTCTGAAGGAGTAGGCTGGGCCTTGCCTGCCCAAGGACAGCACCCCAGCCTGCTGGAGCCAAGGCCGAAGACTGAATTCACCTTCTCCTACTTCCCTTCCCTAAGCTTAAGCTCTCTCTGCCACACTGCCCCAAGTCTGTGACTTAAAACAGCCATTTCCTTTTGCTGATGCATAAGCTTACAAAATGTTTCAGCTTGGAGACTGGAAAGGCTCTCTGTGCCTTTCTGTCTATCTCTGTTTCTCTTGGGTTGATATTGATGGTTTTAATCTTTTTCTTTCAGGGAACTGTAATGATCCATGACAAAGAAATCACTCTCGAGTATGTACCAAACTTGGATTTTTGGTACTGCAAAAGAGTAAGTACCAAGAATTCCTTTCTATAGAAGTAAGCATCCTGCATAGCAGGACTTCCATATGTTCAGGAATGTTGCCCATTACCATTGTATTGCCAAAGACAAAGCTCTGTTCTCTTGGTTCGGTTCAGTTCAGTTCAGTTCAACTGGAGGTCAAGGCAAAGTCATCCATATTTCCTGTTTTTCAGGTGCTACATTATGTTGGGCATATGTCTGCACTGACATTACATATACTTTCTTATGGGCATATGCCAATGCTTCTGTTGATTATAAAAAGAGTAACAGTTATCCTTACAACCTCAGCCAGCCTTTCTGGAGGGGGTGGTAAGGGAATTGTTGAAAAGGTAGATTTGGAGAGGCTGGTTGTTTGGGAGCTGTACACATTTTGTGAGAATTCCTTTTGTTTTTTTGGTACTAGGGTTCGAACTCAGGACCTTGTGCTTGCAAGGCAGGTGTGGTGCCACTGAGCTAAACCTCTGGGCCCACATTTTGGATATTCTGTAAATTATAAGGGTAAAGAACTTGAAGCACCATGGCATTTCACCTCTGTTAACTCCATATTCTCTTAGAATATCGTATTTAAATATTTTAGGGATTATTTTATGGTATAAGTACTGCAGATATTGAACCCAGGGCCTTTACACTGGGTTATATCCCTGGCCCTCATTTTATTTTTTATTTTGGGATAAGTTCTCACTAAACCACCCAAGCTGGGCTCGAACTTGTGATCTTCCTGCATCCCCGATTACTGGGAATACTGGTGTGTTCTACTATGCCTGGCTTGGGCTATATTCTTATTAAAAGGACCATTTTGTTTGCAGTGAGTATGACAATATAGCTTCAATTTTTATTGCTATGGATTTAATTTAAAATCCATAGCAATAAATCCATGGATTTATGGATTTTAATTTAAAAATAATTATAAAAATTTATAGTTTCTGAGGGCCGGGGATTTAGCTCAGTAGCACTCACAAGTGCAAGGTCATGAGTTTGATCCCTGGTACTGGGGAAAAAAAAATTATAGTTTCTGAACCGTGATTCATTAAAAGTGTTAAAGAACTTGATGATTCAGTAAAAACTTTAGCTTGACATTTTTGTTAGTCTCAATGAAATACAATTAGATAGCTATAATTGTCATTCTCTAAAGCACTCATTTCTCTAAAGTCTATCATTTCATAGATAGACTGCCTTAAAAGCATTTAATTTTTTTTTTTTTTTACCATGGTAAAATGCACAGAACATACAATCTACCATTTTAACCACTTAAAAATATATAACTCTCCTACTCATGAGTCTGAAGCAAAGAGGATCATTTGAGCCCAGGAGTTTGAGGCCAGTCTGGGTAACATAGCAAGACTCATCTCAAGAACAAATCAGTGGTATTGAGTACCTTTACAAGACAGTGCTATCTAATTCAGAACTTTTCCTTTTTTGGAATCAAACCCAGTGCCTTGCACATGCTAGCAAAGCACTCTACCACTCAGCCATACTCCTAATATTCCCCACCCCTTAAATATGTATAAGCAGTATTCATATTAGCCAAAAAGTAAAAGCTATGCAGTCATAAATTGATGAATGGACAAACAAAATTGGTATACAGTATATCCATAAAATATTTGACAATAAAAAGGAATAGAATACTAATACATGGTACAACTTGGATGAACCTTGAAAACACTGTGGCAGACAAATGATCATAAATTTCACTATTCCATGGACCTGGTAGTAAGATTAGGAAATAATTCTAGTAGGTGTCTTTTTGGGGTAACAAAAATGTTCTAAAATTAGATTGTTTGTGGTAGTAGGTGCACTATACATTAACTAAAAAAAATTAAATTGTGCACCTTTAATAGGTGAATATTAGGGTGTTTAAATTGTATCTACCAGCTAGGCATACTGGTACACACCTGTAATTCCAGCACTTTGGGAGGCTGAAACAGAAGGATTGCATGTTTGAGCCCAGCCTTGCCAACTTAGTGAGAGCCTGTCTCAAAATAAAAAGGGCTGGGGATGTAGGTCAGTATGAAGGCCTGAGTTCACTCTGCAGTACCACCATATACATTGTTGGGGGGGGTGCCTAGAATCCTGACTGTGCCATCTACCAATTGCAGTGTTACACATCGTAATAAATCTGCTGTAGTAACAAACATCCTTCAGATTTCAGTGAGTTTTTTTGTTTTTGTTTTTGTTTTTGTTTTTGGTACCAGGGATTGAACTCAGGTCATTGCACTTACACAGCAGGCAGTGAAACCACTGAGCTAAATCCCCGGCCCGTATTTCAGTGGTTTAAAACAATAAACATGTTGGGGTTTTGGCTCAGTGGTTTCACTGCCTGCTGCGCAAGCGGAAGGATCTGACTTCGATCCCCGGCACCAAAAAAAAAATTTACTAAAAAAACCAAACAAACAATAAACATAATCTCCACTCACATTACATGTCAAGGTCTATTGGTCATGTCATATAGTTTCTCATCATAGGACTCAGGCCAAAAAATAGTCCCAGTGTGGGTTTGTGTTCTCCTGACTGAGGGAAAGAAAGAGATGTTCATTCACACAAGTAGTGAGTCTTAAGCTTCTGCCAGACCTAGTGTAGGTCATATTCACTCTCGCTAAACTGGCTAAAGGAAGACACGTGGCCATGACTGACAGTGGATAGGGCAAGTACACTTACCCTGTGCAGAGGTACCACAGCCACTTGCTAATAGGCTGGTGCTTGTGTATGATCTGCTTATAGGGAAAAGAATGATGAAATAACTGCTTGAGATTCTGTTCACAAATTCAGGCAAGAACTATATTCACAATGCAAGTATCTCCTTGTTCTGGACTAGTAACTTTTCTTCCCTTTAATGTCTTTCACATAGCTGCCAGATGTGTTATATTTCTTCTCATTTCTTGCTTCTCATTATCAGTGTTTGAGAAAGGAGCTGGTAATTGATTTCTTCTCAGTTCTAGCCAAATGTAAATGGGGGTTTCATAACCAGTCCAAGACCAAGTTTTGGATACAGACTAAATGGCAGTGGCTTTAGGGCAATAGTATTCTTTGAACCATTGAATAGTTTCCTTAGTTTATTTCCTGTAGAGATCCTTGTCCAAAGTAAAAGCATTATGGGCTGTTTCCAAGTCCAAGTGCCCTGTAAGAAGGCAGCTCTCAAATAGTAGCTTATCGATCTTACCTGCCAGCATTGAAAAGTGGGACAGTATCAGATTCTCTAGACTTTGAGGGGATCTGGAGTATGGCTTATTTCATTTTTGGCAGATGTTATTGTGTTGGATATTTGTAAGGTTTATAAACATGTTTTTGGTCAAATTGAATTCTTTCCTTTTTCATTGCAGTGTAAGGCTAGCACTGGTGGGCATCGATCTTCATGTTCATTCTGCAAGTGTCCAAAGGAAGGTGAGCTGGAGAAGTGGTGGTTTTTATCTTGTGCACTGAATAAAACAAATTTCATATTTCCTTAGCTTTCACGAATTCATATCCCTAAATACAAATTGATGTGTAAAGCTTTCAAAGTACAACTCAATGTCCAACTTCATGTGACTTCTTAGTAAACGACTTCTCAAGAGTTCTACTAAGAAAAAACTAAAGAGTTCCGCTAGAGCAGTGGTAGCAAACCTATGGCACACATGCCATAGTGGGTACACAGAACCCTCTCTATCAGCACATGAGCCAAGTCACCCCAGCATCTGAGCATTGGATAACAGTTGTTTTTTTCTATGTGAAAATCTCAGTATTCAGGTTTAATTGCAGTATTGACACTTTGCAATAAATAAGTTGCAGTTTGGGCACTCAGTCTCTAAAAGGTTCATCATCACCACACTAGAGGAAACAGTCAAGGGGCTGTGGGCTCTTTAAGCTGAAGTTGCTAAGTGGGCAGCTGAGTAGAGTCAGTACTATTGCTATTTAGAATACGTGTAAGCCAAGTTCTATCCCCAGTACCAAAAAAAAAAAAAATAGGGCTGGGGATTTAGCTCAGTGGTTCCGCCGCCTGCCTCGCAAGTGCAAGGACCTGAGTTCAGTCCCCAGTACCAAAAAAAAGAATATGTGTAAGGTGCCAGGCATGGTGGCACAGGCCTGTATTCCTAGCACTTGGCAGGCTGAGGCAGGAGGATTACGAGTTTGAGTCCAGCCTGGGCTACCTAGTGAGTTCAGAGCCAACCTAGACTAAGAGTGAGACTGTCTTAAAAAAAAAGGAAGATAGGTGAGGAAGAAGAGGAAAAAGGAGGATGAGGAGGAAAGACAAAAGGATACATTTAAGGATGTTAGGTTAAAAATAGTCTTTGACAAACCACACACTTTCTTCTTTGAAGTTATTGAGAATCACTTGCTGTATTTTTTCTTTGTACACATTTCAGGATCTTCAACAGAAATACTACAAATAAATGAAAATATAAACATGAGAAAATCTAGATTGGGAGAATTAACATTATTATAAGGAGTAAACCTACCAGCTTCTCACATACTTAAATTTTTAAATTAATTTTTTATTGACTTAAAATGTACATATTCATGAGGTACAGTGTGATAATTTAATACACATGTACAATGTATAGGCACTTAAATTTTTTTTGAGAAAAACTGTCGGCAAATATCTTTGAAGAGTTTATCAGAGGCATCTATCACAATAGTCCTGTATTAGTGACTGTTGTATGCCTGCTTTTTATCCCTAAGGAAAGCCAGGACATGACAGTAAAATACTGTTCAGTGCTGGGATACAGGCTGCCTTCTGAAGGACCTGTTCTGGGGTTAGAATTTACTGTGCCTACAGAGTTTCTTAGCTAGGCTTTTGACCTGTAGTGAAGACTACTCAATATGAAGAGCAGCTAGGTGTGATGGCACACACCTGTAATTCTAGCACTGGGGAGGCTGAGGCAGGAGGATCACCACCAATTTGAGGCCAACCTAAACTACATAGTGAGTTCACTTGATCTTCACCAAAAGGCCGAGAAGCAATACTACATAGTGAGTTCAGTGCCAGCCTGGACTACATAGCAAGACCCTGTCTCAAAAAAAAAGTTGTTGTTATGAAAATCATTTGGAGAAGGTTTTGTATTGGGAGACTAAACCAACAATTGAGGTTTTTTTGTTTTTTGGGTTTTTTTTAAGAATAGGAACAATTTATTGAGAGAAAGATAGCTTTTGTCTAAGAGACACAAATGGGGGATCAGAAAATGGGATGTCCCCAAAAATTGAGATTTTGAGCTTCTTAGATCACTTCAGATTGAAGTTGTGGTTTTTTTCCCAAGATGGACTTCCTGAACCAGGTGTGGTGGCACTTACCTGTAATCCCAGCACTCAGGAGACTAAGACAGGAGAGTCTCAAATGAGTTCAAGGCCAGCCTGGACTACATGTAGAGACCCTGTGTCAGAAAATAAACAAACAAAAAGAAGAATTTCCTAACCTGTTTCAACAAATGAAGAGGTGGTTTATGAAAATTTGGGCACCTTACCACTAAGGGAGCCTAAGATAATTTCACCTGGAAATACAAAGCAGATTGACTAGTCACCCATCAATAGCAATTGCTTATTACTATTAAGTAATTTCTATATTGTTCCCAGTGAGTGTCTTTTTAAGCCATGTGGCTTCCAGTGGGTCCTCTTAAAAATGAAATAATGACAAAAATGTGCCCCTAAGAAGTCAAATTGTCATTCCATAGAAGGAAATTTTAAATGAATCATTTATATTTTGAAGGACATTTGCTCATCGTAGTTATTTGCCTACGAATGAGTTGTATGCAGGTAGGTTTATTCCTAATTTCTCTGGAAAAGGGCCTGTGGTCTCACAGAATTTGAGACAGTTTTAGTGGAAGAAGTAAGGCTCCTAGACATGTTCAGGATGTACGTTTCTACCAAATCTTTAGCAAAGGCTACATCTTTGGTAATGTCTCTAAATCTGTTCTTCCCATGGTCCAGGCTGTGATGATGGATTTGCTATATTTAAACATTTGTTAAGATTAAATTTTTTAAATGCTTGGATGGTGTCTTCTGTGAACTGTTTCATGTGATGTCACTTTAGCCTTTCCCCAGACACTTTCACAGGATGTTTTTATAGGTATTTCTGAAACAGTTTTAAACATTCCAGTCTGAGTATTTAGAAACAGGTAAGAGGAAATCAAAGTACTAGTTTTTTTTGTTTTGTTTTGTTTTTTGGGTTTTTTGGTACCAGAGATTGAACTTGTACTTTCAAGGCAGGCACAGGTGCTACTGAGCTTAATCCCCAGCCTGAAAGTAGTAGTATTTTTTGATAAAGCTTTCTAGGGATTCTCTTTCTGTTTTTGTTCCCTTACTAACAGAGGCCAAGCAAGAATTAATAACCTACCCTCAGCCTCAGAAAACATCAATACCAGCATCTTTGGAAAAACAACCCAGCCAGTCCTCAAGGCCAGCTGAAAAAGAATCTGAATCTAGAAAACAGGAAGAAGGACAAGAACCACGCTTGGGACATCAAAAGAAAGAAGCAGAAAGATATCTGCCTCATTCTCGAAGGGAAGGGCTTGCTTTCCGAAGAGACCGAGAGAAGGAGTCATGGTCTGGAGAGATGCGCCAGGATGGAGAGAGCAAAAGTAAGTGGTTTGTCAGGGATGTGCTAGACTGTGACCACCACATCTGCAGTATAAATGGCCCAAATTGTGGCTAGTAGCCAGCTGTTTCCACATATCTCAGAAAGCCTGTGCACTACATGCTTGCAGAAGCCATTACTTTCTGTTGGCCTACTGTACTAGTTACAGGATCTACACCTTCCAGGTAGCAAACCTGTTGTACAAATACAGAAATACATGATTTTTAGATTTCTAAATATTGGTGAAAAAAAAAAGTAGAAGTATTTGTCATCGCTTCTCGGCCTTTTGGCTAAGATCAAGTGTGGAAGTATTTGTCTAGGATTTCTTTATAGAACTAACCTTGTTTGAGCCAGAGTAGTATCTGCAATAAATAATGACCATCCGACCGAGGCATGGTGGTGTTCACCAATAATCCCAACTCTCTGGGAGGCTGAGGCAAGAGGATCATAAGTTCAAGCCCAGCCTGGGCAGCTTAGTGAGACCCTGTCTGAAAATAAAAAATTTAAAAAGTGCTGACGATGTAGTTTAGTGTGAAGGCTCTGGATTAAATCTCCAGGATTGGAGTGGGAGGAGATACCATCAGCCTCTTGAGACTTCAGATTTTCTCATCTTTCTCTTTCCTTGCTTTTCTCCCATTTGTTCTTGGCTTATTCAGCAATCATGCTAAAACGCATTTATCGTTCCACTCCACCTGAGGTGATAGTGGAAGTGCTGGAGCCCTATGTCCACCTTACTACTGCCAATGTTCGTATCATCAAGAACAGAACTGGCCCCATGGGCCACACCTATGGCTTTATAGACCTTGACTCCCATGCGGTGAGTTTCCCCTCCTTATAATAGTCTAGGGCAGTCCTAGCAAACCTATAGCATGCATGCCACAGCATTTTTTCTAAAATAAATCCTCAGTATTCAGGTTTAACTGCAGTGTTGGCACTTTGCAGTAAATAAATGGGTTTGGGGTTGCAGTTTGTTCTCTAAAAGGTTTGCTATCACTGGTCTAGGGACATCCCTAGATGATCTGAGTTTCTGAAATTTATATCAGAAACTGATCTCTACTCTGATAACTCTTTTAGTCCTTCATTAAGAGTTGCCTATCTATGCCAGTGTGTTCAGTTAAAATTATTACTAGAACATACATTTAGTAAATATCTCTTCTGAGAAGGAAAATCCACCATGTTCTCTTTCTAAGGATGTGCCCTTTTCTTTCTTTGGGTTCAAGTGTATCTTTGGTTCCCTAGGAAGCTCTTCGTGTAGTGAAGATTTTGCAGAACCTTGATCCACCGTTTAGCATTGATGGGAAGATGGTAGCCGTAAACCTGGCCACTGGAAAACGAAGGTAAGAAAGAGGATAAGGATCCCTTGTGCTGCCCCTACTTGAGTTTTTATGAAGAAGTTGTTCTTTGCTGTAGAGTTAGATAGTAAGGACTGGTGCCTTCCTGGCATGCACTGGTTTGGCTGTGATACATGCTTACATGTTTTCTTTTCTGAAGCTTGCCTTGTTCTTACTCTATAAATGTTTTTGTCCTCAAATGGTTACTAAGTACTTTAGGCCCCCAATCCCCACCTCCCGAGGTAATGGAGATTGAACCCAGGGCACATCGCACTACACAAGGGCTTTACCACTGGGCTACATCCTTTACCCTTTTTATTTTGAGACAGGCTCTCACCAAGTTGCCTACACTGGCCTTGAAATTGCAATTTTTCTGCCTTAGGGTCTCAGATTGCTAGGATTACAGATGTGGGCCACCATGTGCATCAGGCTTTTCCCTTTTGACTGCATTTGTATCTTTAGGTCCCTGGTGATATCGTCTTAGATGTACAGAAAAATCTCAATATATCTTGGCCTTTTGGAATCCTAAGTAAATGCTTTTCTGACTTTCCACTCCCCTGACCTTGATCATTTCCCTCATAGTACTGGCAAATCTAATTCCTCTTTACTGTCTCACTCATCTTGACCCAGTAAGGTAACTTGGAGATAGCCACATCAAGAGATAGACCTTTAGAGAAGGGGCAGATGTTATTCTAGCGCCCTCCACTCAATCACTGTTTTGCTCCAGGAGCTGGCTTTGCAGGAATCCTGCTGCTCCTGCCCTTAGGAGTGTTTGGATCACCCACCCTGCTTGCTGTTTGGGTTGGTTCCTTTCCCTGCAAAATGACGGAAAGAGTTTCTCAGTGAATCTCTAGAATTAGATTCTTCCAAGTATCTTTTTGTAACAGGCTTTTGACATGCTGTATTATTTGTTACAGAAATGATTCTGGAGACCATTCTGACCATATGCATTACTACCAGGTAGGCTTTAAGAGGTGGGGAATGCTCTGTTAAAATCTTCAGGTGACTGAAAGGGTAGTACTGAATTTCCTGCAGTAGATGAATGTTAAGGTTAGTGGCTCTTGGATTGTTCCATTATTTTAATTTGCCTCTCTGTGATAGGGTAAAAAATATTTCCGAGATAGAAGAGGAGGTGGCAGAAATTCAGACTGGTCTTCTGACACAAATCGACAAGGACAACAGTGTAAGTAACCTTTGCTTTATTTCTCTTGTTCTTTTTTGCATGACTTGGTACTCATTACTAGAAATCATAAAGTTAGCAAGAGAGGCTGTTGACTGCAGTGTTCACCCTGAGAGAGAAGCAGCTGTAGTTTGAATTTGCCACCCTAATTTGTGGGTGGTTCTTGGTGAGGCCTCAGTAAGGGCTTCAAGAGACAGGCACTAACATTGACTCCCATTTTATCCCTTGTAGCATCATCTGACTGCTACATATATGATTCTGCTACTGGCTACTATTATGACCCCTTGGCAGGAACTTACTATGACCCCAACACTCAGGTGAGTTTCTGGCTTTATATCCTGTCAGTGATTGTTTTGAGAAAAGCACCCATAATTTGTTACCTTGAGGATTTTATTCCCTGGATTCTCTGGATGTTCATGCCATGAAAAGTGGAAAAACTTAAATCTATGGAATCTGAACTGTTGCCTATCTGGAAAATCAATGTCTTGTTGCATTACAGGTAAGAACAGTGCTGCTTTTAGAAAAAGTGGACATCAGGTGGTTTGGGTGTGTCCTGGGCCCTGAAATGGGGTTTTAGATTAATATAAATTCTCAGGCTTGTGAGTCTGTGAAGAGGGCTGTTCTTTTCTCTAGCAAAAGAGCTATGTTCCTTAGACCTGGAATTGCAGAAAATTGAAACATTCTATAGATTTACTTCTTTCCAACTGTATCGCAGCAAGAAGTCTATGTACCCCAGGACCCTGGGTCACCTGAGGAAGAAGAGATCAAGGAAAAGAAACCTACCAGTCAGGGAAAGTCAAGTAGCAAAAAAGAAATGCCTAAGAGAGATAGCAAGGAGAAAAAAGATAGAGCAGTGACAAAGGTAAGAGAACTCTTGAATCTGCTGTCTGTTATTTACATGACTAGATTAAAATGTAGGATTGTACCCGCCTCACCACATGGCATGGCTGCATAAAACATCTTTGAGAAGTGAAGTGGGCAGGCAACCCACTTTCTGGTCCCCCTTCTTTCTTTTTTTTTTTTTTTTTTTTTTTTTTTTTTTTTTTTTTTTTTTTTTTTTTTTTTTTTTTTTTTTTTTTTTGGTACCAGGGATCGAACTTGGGTCCTTGTGCTTGTGCAGCAGGCCGTGAAACCACTGAGCTAAATCCCTGGCAGAAGCTTTCTTTCTCCCAATAAATTTTTCCTACTCTTAAAAAAAAATTAATTAAATAAAGTGTAGGAGTCATGAAGTGCAAGGTCCTGAGTTAGATTCCTGGTACTGCAAAAAAAAAAGTAGAAGTCATGGACAGAGGAGATTTAGATTTGAGATATAAAGTTACTTTGAAAATACTATGATTCCCACCTGCCTGTACAGTGGATTGAACTCAGGACCTTGCGCTTTTGAGGCAGGTGCTAAAAAAATTATGATTACTGGTATAAGCAATCCCCTTGCCTGATATAACACCTTAGTAACTCCCTTTTACAAATGGGAAAACTGGATGATAGAACAAAGTGACTCATCTCAAATCCCAACACCTCAGGTCCACACTGTCACTTTTCTACCTCCCCTTTCTAGTGCTTAACTCTGTATACACATTTCAGTAGGTGTATTATAACAGGAGGTACAATTTTGTGTTCTTTATTTACTTTCTATTTTTCATGAATTTTTTTTTTTTGGTACTGGGGGTTGAATATTTTTCATGACTTTTTAATGTTTAATCTTTATTTTTAATACTTGTATGATAAAGTTGATATTAAAACTATACCTCTGTTTTCATTCTCTTTTCATTGTCTCTTCAATCTTGTATTGTCAGTATTTAAGATCTTATTTCTTTTAATATTACTTGATTTGGATACATTTTTAGAATCAAAGATAATAGCATTTTCACATGTGATACAAAATTTAATTATTTTCTGAAGAATTATACTGATTTGCCTACATGCCAGTCATACATTAGTGAAAATGACTGAGTTCATAACTTGTAGTTCAGTTCATAACTTTTCTTCCCTTCTAATACTGCTAGCTTATCTAAAGATGCAGAAAAAAGAGTACATGTGTATTTATGTGTCTAAGAACTTAGACTTTAGAGCCATATTGGCTTGATGTTTGAATTCTTCTTGTGCCCCTTAATCTTTCCAACTGTACTTTCAACCATTTATATCAGTTTCTTTTTTTTTTTTGGTACCAGGGATCAAACTTGGGTCCTTGTGCTTGTGCAGCAGGCAGCGAAACCACTGAGCTAAATCCCCAGTTCACCCATTTATAAAATGAGGATAATAATGCATAATGCATATATGATGATGGTAGTTGTCGGTGCTAGGGTTTGAACCCAGGGCCTAATGCGCTCTAGGCAAACACTGCACCATTGAGCTCCACCCCCAGCCCTAAAATGTTAAGTTTTTAAAGGTTTAGTGTTTCATAATCACTATAGCAACATTACAGATCTTTGGAGGTTTAGAAAATTAGCCTAATTTCAACAAGGCTAACTCTTAACCTAGTTTTTATGACTGAGTATCATATAAGAATTACCTCGGCCTGGCTGGGCTGGGCTGGGCATGGCTGGTGGTACAGGCCTGTAATCCTAGCACTCAAGAGGCTGAGGCAGGAGGATCACTGTGAGTTCAAGGCCAGCCTGAACTACATCATAGACCCTGTCTCAAAAAAACAAAAAAATAAATAAGAGAATCACTTTGGCATTTGGTCAGTTTCAGGAAGTTGCCAGTGAGGGGACGAGCCCCCCGGAGGATGTCTTTAAGAAGCCCCTGCCTCCTACTGTGAAGAAGGAAGAGAGTCCTCCTCCTGTAAGGCCAATGCATGGTGCCTTGGGCTTGGGCTCGGGCTGGTTCTGGTGGGAGAGGAAGCTCAAAAGCTGGTGCCTCACTCTGTTGTCCTTTCACTCTCTTGCATCTTAGAAATAAGTGCTCTTGAGGGTAAGCATGAGGTAAAAATTTGTCTGCTGGTGGGGATATTACTGGAGGATCAGAGGCAGTTGCCTGTTTTCTTTCTCTCTATCCTCTTCTCTTCCCACCCGACCAGCAGACATCTGGCTATTGTTATGTCTTAATCTTTTCAGTCTTTTCTAAATCACCAAGGAAACCTATTTTCCTGGCCTCAGTGTTTCCTGTCTTTTGATGATACACAAGAATCTCTTAGATGTGGAGTGCATGTGTGATCATGTTCATAAATTGGCCTGCCTAGCCAAACTGGTCCTAATATTGGCAAGCATTTTTACTTTTTTATTTTTTATTTTTTGTACCGGGGATCGAACTCAGGACCTTGCACTTGCAGGCCAGGCGGTGGAACCATGGCAAGCATTTTTAGATGCCTTAAAGTGATAGTCTCAAGCTAAGCACTAATTATTTTGATTAAATAAAAATATGTAGGAATAGTGGCCATGCTTTTTCTTTTTGTAATTTTGATTAATTATAAACCATTATTAAGCTGAATTTGTATAACTAAGTGCTTATGACCAAGAGTATTTAGTACACCTCTTAAATCCCCTTGATGAAATTCATCTTTCCTTTTTCCATGGGTTACACTGTCTTTGAAATGTTCATTACTTTCTCTGTGTGGTATATTAACTCTTTTGCTGTTTTCTTACGTCATTTCCCTTTTCCTTCTCCCCACCACTCTCTTGCTGGAGTCCCTTCCAAAAAACCTTTCTCATTTACCTCAGTGAACAAGGAATAAGATCAGCCTGTAGCCATGTTGTGTCCATCTGGGCAGCATGGTCAGTGGGCCTATTTTGAACCCAGAACAAAGAAAGGGGATACTTTAATCAAAATAACCAAAAAATAGACTTCGAAGTATAGAGTTTAGTGTTGATCCCTAGCCTTCTCTTTCTAGCCGAAGGTGGTAAACCCACTGATTGGCCTCCTGGGTGAATATGGAGGAGACAGTGACTATGAAGAAGAGGAGGAGGAGCAGACTGCTCCACTACAGCCCCGCACAACCCAGCCCCAGCAGCGGGAGGAGCTGACTAAGAAGGAGAATGAAGAAGACAAACTCACTGACTGGAATAAACTGGCTTGTCTGCTCTGCAGAAGGCAGTTTCCCAACAAAGAAGTTCTAATCAAACACCAACAACTATCAGACCTGCACAAGGTATTAGGGGAAGAGACCATTACCTTTCAAATTTTTGACTCTTAACATCGGTTACAGGGAATAAAGTAGCTTAGCTGTCCTTCATCCCCGGTTCCTATCATTAAATCTGCTCAATTCAAAAGTGAATTGCTCTTCTGCTTTTTGTCCATTAATTACTCTGAATTAAGGCTGTGTGTGTGTAGACCAAAGGTAAGCAGCAAAGAACTTCAGTGTGTAGAGCCAAAGTAAGCAGCATGGCTGTGCACCACATACAGAGAATGTGCAGGAAGAGAAGGGATTGTGGAACAGAAAGCTCACTTGCTGGGTTTCTCATTTTAGTGCTGTCATTAACCTAACAGATAAGTTGGACCTCAGATAAGTCCTTTCTCTTCTTTGATGCTTGGTATCTTCCCCCAGTTCTATTCAGCTATGACAGTGTGCAGTTTTCCCTATAGGTGAGTAAGATTCTCTCGTCTTTCATGTAGTGAATATTGCTATAAGCACCAACACAGCAGCTATTTTGTGGGGTATTAAACTGATGTACATTGGTCCTTCCCTGCAGTCTTCCCATTTATATGTACTGACCAAGGAGCCAAATTATAAGCAAAACCCCTAGGACTGGGGATTTAGCTCAGTGGTTCCACTGCCTGCCTCGCAAGCTCAAGGTCCCAAGTTCAATCCCTGGTACCAAAAAAAAGCAAAACCTCTAGATGGACACATGATCTGAAGAGTAATTTCTTTCACACTCCTTCTCTAGTAGATGTTGCAAGATAAGGTATGAGGGGACTTGGTTTCCATTTTCTCTCAACAGAGAACCCAAAGTCTTACATAGCTAAAAGCTGAGAAGCTCTGCTTTTGGTAATAGGTATACTACTACTCCGAGCTCCTCCTGTGGAAACTCTGCAAACTTTTGGGGATTCTGAGAAGCTGCTCCTCCTGACAATGCTTAGAACAGATTACCTTCCAAATTCCTTTAACCTTCTGGTATTCTGAGTCCCCAGATTGACACATTTCAGTTTTGGCCCTCTGATGATAGTGCTAATAGATAGGGGTAAAGATTAAAAAGTGGTTGCCAGGAAAGAGGAGCCGTAGGCCTGCTAAATCCACAAACTGAACTGGCCCTACTACAGTGAACAGGAGACTGTATTCCTTTTCCTTTCCTTAGAGTCATCTGGTACAAAGAACCATATTGCCATGCAGGAGCTGTTTTAGACCCTTCTGTGTGGGAAAACTTATCTAGTAGAACCATGCTTGAGTATGGCGCTCTCCAAACAGTGTATGTTCTTCAGGACCCTAGTGCTACTTTATATGTTTCTCCCGGCCCTTGAAAGAATGACTAGTATTTGGGGATGATGGATAATGGAGATTTTGGGCAGAGTGCGTGTGCGTGATTTACTTCATTAGTGTGTTCAGAATCTGTCCCATTATTTTTACCTTAGAGATAAACCAGATTTTTGTCTTCCACATTTTAGAGAAAAGGAGAATCAACATCCTCTGGGTGGCAATCTGGTTTCCTCTGAGAGTAAGGCAAGACTACTTAGGGATTGTTGCTTGCAGAGTACAGTCATCATTTAGGAAAGTCAGTCCGTCAAGAGTTACAGTCCTAAAGCAGCTATCAGAAAAGGCCTAGAGACATTTCTAGGGCCATTTACTCTAGACCAATATTCATAGGATGCCTTCCTTTTCTCAGCAAAACCTGGAAATCCACCGGAAGATAAAACAGTCTGAGCAGGAGCTAGCCTATCTGGAGAGGAGAGAACGAGAGGTAAACTTGAGTGACCTGTTATTCCCTTGACTGAAGCTCTTTTTGCTGTCTGCTGTAGAACTGTACTGATCCCTCCTTATAAGAGGATAGAGAAAAAGGGCCCCAAAACATGATGTATAAATTTGTCAAAATATCAAATTCTACAATAAAATGGATGTACTTTAATGTTTATAAATTATGCCTCAGTAGAGATTTTTTTTTTTAAGTGATATTAGGTTCCTCAGGTAGATCAAATAAATAGCACTTCTCTTTCTTGCTCTGCTTTTAAATTAGTTGAGACAATAAAGGAATGTTGGATAGAGCTGCTGAAATACCATCCCTTACTGTTAAAGGCTAAGTTGGAGGAAGTAGCTTAGTGTGAGAGCCACATGGAATCACTACCTAGACCACACAATTAGGAAAACTCACTGCGCATCATAGACTTCACCAGGCTAGGGCAGGTCTTAGGTGATGATTAAGAATCCACCTGTGGACACGTGTGGAAGATCACCCGCTTCTCAGCAGGGGAAAAAGCTGAGGCAAACATGCCAACTATTCTTCCAAACATGCCAGGGCTGGGGATTTAGCTCAGTGGTTCCACCGCCTGCCTCACAAGCACAAGGTCCTGAGTTCTATCCCCGTACCAAAAAAAAGTCTGGAATGGGGTAAAGCTTTCCCATTCCTAGCCTCAGGTAGAAATCTTAGGTCTGTTCTGCTTACCAACAGGGAAGGTTTAAAGAAAGAGGAAATGATCGCAAGGAAAAGCTCCAATCTTTTGACTGTCCGGAAAGGAAACGCATTAAATACTCCAGGGAAACTGACAGGTAAGACAAATTCTTTCATTCTCAAGACCTAATTGAAAAACCAATTTCTTCTCCAAATGTACTGCCGTTTTCTCTCTCAGGTAAAAGATTCCTTAGAAGGAATGAGTTTTGTCTGAACTTAGGGAGCATGGCCTTTTGACCACTTGTCTTAACACTGGAAATGTGTGTGTTTACATGGAAGGTTGGCTGGCTGCTCCCCCTGCTCAAACCAGGGCTAAAGTACCCATAGTCAGGAATCCTTTCTCTTCTCAATACTGTGCTCTCCTTATGTTAATTCTGGGCTTTTTTTCTGGGAAACCTACATTCTTACATGTAGGTGTTAAGTAGTTGGCTGTGATCTCTAGCTTCCTGCACTTGTTTCTAATTAATAAGTTCCCAAGTAAGAGTTCCCAAGTCAAAAAGTCCAGAGTTACATAGAACCTGTTTATAACCATTGTGTACAGATAGTGTGCTACGTGCACAAATACTCGGATAGAAAAGACATGCATTATTATTAACTATATTTACACAAAATAGAGAACGCTTACATTATGGTTTGTCTCTTGGGGCAAACACAGAAATCCAGTGAAGAGGAAGGCATTTCAGTTGGAGGGGATGAAAAAATAAAGCTGGTCCAACAGATGGAAGCCAATTCATGATGTTTGTATACCTTGAACACCATGCCAAGGCTTTTTCTTAAAGGCAGTAGGAGATCATGAGATGATTTTAAGCAGGGTATTGATCTAACTTTGCATTTTAGAAATTGGTTTTGTAGAGACTAATGTTGTAGCAAAAGAGAGTAGAGCAAAGAGAGGTGTCAAGTCCCCTGTCTTTGTGATCAGTGGAGGTTGTGCCTGTGAGGAAAGGGAAATGATGGACCTGCCAAGCCCCTGAAAAGGCAGGACACAGTCTGAGGCTCTGACATTTCAGCTAAATTTCATTATAGCCCACTGAGATATATTTTTGTTATGATCCAGTAATCAAATGTATGTAACTGAGTAAGTCATCCCTACTGTGTGCAATGAACTCTGGTATTTCTATTCTAGTCTATTCCATTTTCATTTTAAGTGCTAGGGCAGGACTTAATAAATTTGACATCCCACTGGATCTTTCTCTGTAATTTGATGTATAATAAACCAGTAATAGCCAGGAGGAAGGAAGAACACCTCTGCTCTGAGGCACCAGGGATGAGGCAGTGCAGGTGCAAAAAGACCCTTCTGTATTCTCACCCCATTCATAACACATTTCTCCTGGCTCTTTTCCTTCTCAGTCTTTTTTCCTGCTCCTCTTATTTCTGGGTAAGTACAAGTGTTCTGCAGGACCCTGCTCTCAGAGCTTAGTTAGTGGTGTTAGGGATCAAACGTAGGGCCTCATACATGCTAACTAAGTTCTTCACCACTGATCTGCATTACCAACCCATTCCTTTAGTCTTGCTGCTTTACCCTGTAGACTTGAGTAATCCCAGCAAGCCACCCGTAGTTTTATGGTGGGGTAATGGATAATCTCAGCAAGCCTACACCTTTAGTTCCACTGAAGCTCAGGCTGGTTTCTGGCTATGAGGCTGGAACCGGATTTGTTGAGTCTGCAACAGTCATTGTGCCTCCTGCTGGCTTGTACTCAGCTCCCCAAACTCAGCACCTTCACCACAACACTGGGAGCTGGTAGCCGGCCTATAGCAGTTCTGAGTTCTGAGCTCAGTTTGCCCCTTTCCAAGATGGCTACAAGTCACCCTCTCCTGGGTTACGTCTGAACCTGAATAACTCACCAGCTACTGCAGTCTGCTGCATCCACTGCTCTGTTCCACTGGTATGTTTCTGTGTGGAGGCCTCTTGGGTTGCCAATAGTCACCATTTGTCTGCAGGTTCCACCCACACTTCCCACGCCATGAGTTCTGGGCTCAGGGAGAAAGTGATGCCTGTCACATCCTTCCTCTTTGTTGAAGTCTCTCTTTGCTCTCCCCATTGGCTTCAGTTCTCACTTCAGATTCTTCCTGGGTCCTGGGGACCCACTTCCCTCTTTCTTCTCCTCACACTGCTATATTTCAGTGTCAAGACACCAAATCTCGGAGAGGCTCTTTTCTCTGCTGCTCACCACTCTGCCATCTTCCTGGAAGTCCCTTACCTTGTAGACTTGAGTACCCAGAGCCTCAAAGGTACCCAGGACCTCAGCCACCACTAATAATAGGCTAATATGTCTTATGGATCTATCCCAAGACAGTTCTATTTTCTGAGCTCAAAATCCCTTATTTCCACTGCCTCATGGGCATGTACTCCTAGACACTTCTCAGGCTCTTCATACTCCACTTACTCATTGCTTTGCACATGACAGCCTAGTCCACACCTGCTAGACCTCTTGTGTTCCTGTTTAAGAGTAATAACATCATATCCTACTGTCTATCTGGTCTGACCCAGTTAGTCTCCTTTATCAATTGTAATCACTTAGTGGCCAAATCTCTTAATTAAATCTTGCTCCCGGGCCAGAGATTTACCTCAATGGTGCTGCGCCTGCCTTCCAAGTGCAAGGTCCTGAGTTCAATCCCTGGTATTGGAAGAAGAAAAAAAATCTTGCTCTCATTCTAGCACTCTAGCTCACCTCCCTCCTGGACTCTTTACTCTTTCTATTCTTCAATCCATTCCTTACCCTGCCTATAAAGTGATCTTTGTAAAGAGAAGTCTGCTCTTTAAAATTTCCTTTTTGTGCACATACACCTTGCCTAGGTGGACATCTGGGCTCCAAGGTTTCTTTGCCTGAAGGATGAATTGCAGAGGCCTGACTTAGCTTAATGTTCAAGGCTTTTTACAATCTGACCTCAAGCAACTTTACCTTTGTTGATTCCTGTTGCTCCTTTCTTGGACAAATTGGATTCTTTCACTTTTTCTTTCTTGTATCTTCTCTTCCCACACTTTTTCAATTCCACAAAATCCCACAAACTCATTTGTCAAGACTTAATTTATATGTACATTCTCATTGAAATCCTGTCATTTTTTTATGATGACCTTCAGAGTTTGTGTTTCCTCCATTGTCTGTCCACCTGTCTTTCTCTCATATCTCTCTCTCCAGGCAGGCTCTTGCTATATAGTTCAGCCTGGCCTTGAACTTGCAGCCTACCGAGTGCCAGGATTATAAGTGTACGCCAATGTGCCAGGCCCTCCATTGTGTTTCTGTAGCAGATATCTACTGTTGCCACGTTTGTACTCAGACTCTTCAATGTTCTGTAAATGTCTGTTGGCATGGTTCACTCATCGTTTTCCATGCGCAAGGCCAAATCTTTGTATTCCTAGGACAAGCCTAGTGTGTAGATAGCAGGCACCCAGAGATATTGTTTGATACACCTTGTGAGAGACAGATTTGAGTCAGAGGACAGAGGTGAATGGCTAGGTTGGTGGGTGGGTTTATTTGTTTGTTTGGTTGGTTGGTTGGTTGGTGATTGGTTTTGCAGTGCTGGAGATCAAATCTAGGACATGTTAGGCAAGTGCTCTACCTCTCACCTATAGTCCCAGCCCCAAAGTGGAGTTTTTGGTAGGCACATCAGCAGGCCACCTGGAACATGATGGCGTAAGTAGGTTTGCTTCTTTTAACAGTGATCGTAAGCCTGTTGATAAAGAAGACATCAACACTAGCAGCAAAGGAGGCTGTGTCCAGCAGCCCACTGGCTGGAGAAAAGGGGCAGGCTTGGGATTTGGCCATCCTGGATTGGGTTCATCAGAGGAGGTAAAATGGTTTCTGTCTTCTTGGGGGCTACATGAGCCTGGAATATACTTAACTTTCTTCACTTTCTGGCTTTCAGCTTGAATTTTTCCACTAGTGGCCTGGGACATGAGAGATGAGGAACCCATCAGTCTTGATCACTAGGTTATAGGTTGGCATGTCAGGCCCTTGGTGGTTTGGGTGGCAGTGGGAAGAGGAGGGAAAATTAGGGATGGGGTTTATTATACTCTTTTTTTTTTTTTGATACCGGGGATCAAACTCAGGTCCTTGTGCTTGTGAGGCAGGCGGTGGAACCACTGGGCTAAATCCCCAGCCCATATACCCTTACAAGGAGTAAACAGTGAGTCAGTATGAGAATCAGACAGTTTGAGACTGAAGGATCATCTGGTTTAAGAAAGAAGAAAAAAGGAGAACCAGCAATAAAAGGTGTCTTTAAGAGGGATTATCAGCAGAAGTCTTGTACAGCTAAAATTTGGGACATATGAAGTTAGTCCTGGTTCCCAGAAAGGCCTTTGCTTTTCATACTTCAGAAAGAGCCTCTACAAATGATAATCAGGAAATAATGCCTATTTTGTTGTCTTGGTGTCTCTGAAAACTGTCAATCACGGGAGATTGAATTATCTCTTTCCTACAGATCTTCTCATATCTCTGGTATTGAAGCCTATGTCCTGCAATCATGGCATCACCATCCTTCTTTTCTTTTGAGACAGGGTCTCACTATGTAGTTGAGGCTGGCCTTGAACTCACTATGTGGCCCCAGCTGGCCTTAAACTCACAGTGATCCTCCTGCCTCAGCCTCCCAAGTGTCATGATTACAGGTGTGCAGCACCACACCCAGCACCCTCACCATCCTTATTTATTTTTAATATTAAGATTCTAAAATATTCCCCTATATTTTGCTCCTTACTGGTCCAAAAATGCTTGTGATCAAAGATTAGCCCTGAGGTTGATTATTAACTTATAGGCCTCACTTCACTGTTTATCTGTGTTTTGCAGACTGAAGGCCGGATGAGGGGGCCTGGTGTTGGACTCCCGGGAAGAACCAGCAAGAGACAGTCCAATGAGACTTACCGAGACGCTGTTCGAAGAGTCATGTTTGCTCGGTATAAAGAACTTGATTAAGAATGGAGACAAGTCCCATAGGACACAACCTCCTCTTTGTTTTGTTTGTCCGTCTCTCCTTTTGTTTTGTTACTGTTCTTGCTGCTAGAACTTTTTTAAATAAACTTTTTTCAATGTGATTCTTTTTTGTTAAATTTTTCTTCTAAAGATGGATAGAAGCTGGAGCTAGTGGTGGGAGGGAGAGAATGCCTTGGTGTGGGCCCACCTGAAGTGAAAGTAAGATGGCAAATGAACCCTGCAGTGAACCCTAGAATACTGTTGCTCTCAGCATGACTGGGTAGGTGGCAGTGATCTTTGAACATAGTTGTGTATGTACAACTCTTCAGAACTTCCGAAGTCCTTTTCTGACCTCCCCATGGTTATGCGGAGGGAACAGTACAACAGCTGTTTTTCTGAGTACCTGCTAGATTCTCTTGAAGCTTCACACTTTGTGATTACAGGTTGGCTCAGTAAGTGTTAACATTACTGTCCAGCTGCTGTCCCGGTTCTTCCCTCCTGAGCTATAATTCTCCAGGGAGGTATCTTCCCTTTCAGCTGTTTCTCAAATTCACCATCATACCATTTCACAAAGTTAAGTTTTGTTTTGTTTTTTCTCTTTTTTGAGATAGGGTCTCTCCATGTAAGTTCAGCCTTAAACTTACTATGTAGCCCAGGCTGGCCTCCAACTCAGGGCAGTTCTCCTGCTTCAGCCTCCCAAGTGCTGGCATTACAGGTATGTGCCACCACACCCAGGTACAAAGTAAGTTTTTTTGTGTGTTTTTAATTTTGAGACAGGCTGTAAATTTCCCAGGCTGGGTTGAAAATTACAATCCTACCTCAGCCTCCCAAAGTGCTAGAATTACATGCATCTACTACCACATCTGGCTCAAATGTAAGTTTAAAAAACAAAAAGTAGGGCTGGGGATTTAACTCAGTGGTTCTGGCGCCTGTCTCGCAAACGCAAAGTCCCGAGTTCAATCCCCGGTCCCCCAAAAAAAACCAAAAAGCAAAAAAACCTCTTTGTAATTTAAAGGAATGTCCATGAACCTATTAAACCTTTTAAAAATAATCCTTCAGGGTAATATATTACAGTGCTAAGAATTGCACTTTACAGATCTCTCAGGGGAAAGTTTAGAAGACCATCTTGATGGTGTAGGATAGCAGTGGACAAGCTTTTTGATAAAGGGCAAGAGTTTGCTGCCAGGCATGGTAACAGCAATTGGAAGGCTGAACCAGAAGGATCATTGTGAGGTGGAGGCTAGCCTGGGCTACATAGTGAATTAAAACCCAGCCTAGACTACATAGTAAGATCCTGTCTCAAGCGAAAGGGAGGAGGGCAGAGATTTAATATTTAGGCTCTTTTTTTTTTGTCAGTTTCTTTTATTAGTATATGTTTGTGATACATAGAAGATATACATTCATTTTGGAGGAATTGGTATACATGTATTACATCTTGAAGCCAGGTGTGATGGTTCACACTTACAATCCCAGCGCTTGGGAGGCTAAGGCAGGAGGATCAGTGCGAGTTTGAGGCAAGCCTGGACTACATAGTTCAAAGCCAATTTGAACTATGTAGTAAGATCCTGTCTCTGTAAACAACAACAAAAACATTGCATCTTGATCCATTTTAGCCCCCCTCCCTCTCCCCTTCCCATCCTTTCAAAGAACCAACTCTGATTCATTGACCTTTTGTATTGTTTTTTTAGTATCAGTTTCATTAATTTCTGCTCTGGTCTTTGTAATTTCTTTCCATTAGTTTCAGATTTGAAATGTGCTTGTTTTTCTGGGATCTTGAGATTATCTTTAGGTTATACTGGATTGCTGTCTTTTTATGTGTGCATTGACAGTTACAAACTTCCCTCTTAGAACTACTTTCTTTCCTTGTGTTCTATAGAATTTAGTATGTTGTGCTTCCAATGTCATTTGATTGTAGGAACTTTTTTTTTTGTCTTCCTTGATTTCTTTTGTGATCCATTATTTAATCTCCATGTGTTTGCTTAGTTTCTGTGGCTTCTTTTGCTTTTTATTTCTAGCTTTCTTCTATGATCTGATAATATGCAGTGAATTATTTAAATTCTTTTTTTT